TTCCTTAATAAGTCATTTTGAAGATAGTGCTGTGAATCAATTTTCAAGCAATTATTTCACCAAGAATGTGATTGTTTTACTGATGAGAATTCAAAGAATTATATAAGACTTCATAAATTTTATCCTCTGTTTTTATGAAAGTGAACATCTCAGATGTTCTGGAAAGCAAGACAGTAATCTAAACAGTTAGTTGAAGCTTCATTTATCATGGACTCCTGGTGTGGTGCTGTTGGATAAGCATTGGACTGCAAACCACAAGTTCGGCAGGCCAAACCCACCAGCCACCCCTTGGAACCCAGTAACAGATCACGATGAGTCAGAACCAATTCAATAACACTTAGCAGCAACAGTAACAACAACAACCTAAAAACAAAGAACCAGAAGGAAAATATTGAAGGGAAAAGTTGAAATTTCATTTTGATTATTTAGCTTCCAAGTGGTCCAAATTGAGTTTCTAACAGCTTTCAAAGGCATATTTAATCAAATGTTGGAACTTTTGGAGACCATTGCCTCTACTCTTTGCTAATATAAGGATTCCCAAAGATTCTAATGATTTCCTTAGCTGTTGAGGTCCTAATTTGCTTTTTGTAATATGTTGTTGTTAGGTGCCTGGGAATTGAATATGACTCATAGTAACTTTATGTACAACAAAATGAAACAATGACTGATCCTATACCATTCTAGAGTATGTTGTTTTTAACTGCCAGTGAGTTGGCTCCAACTCAGATTGACCCTGTATAGGGTTTCCAAGGAGCAGCTAATGGATTTGAACTGCTGACCTTGTGGTTAGTGGTTTGGCACACATCCTACAGCACCACACCAGGACTACAGTATGTTGTTGTTAAGTGTCATTAAGTTGGCTCCAACTCATAGCCACCCACTGTAGGGTTTCCGAGGAGCTGCTGGTGAGTTGGAACTGCTGACCTTGTGGTTCAAACCCACTTTGAAGTCCAGTGCTTATCCTGTAGTGCCACACCAGGATATTGAGTCTATAAAATTACTCTCACTTATTGCCATCAAATCGATTTTGACTTATAGTGACCCAGTACAAGGTTTCTGAGACTGTAAAACTTTACTGGAGCAAAAAGACTCATATTTCTCCTGAGGAGTGGCTGGTAGTTATGAACCTTCTGGTTCATAGTCCAGTGCTTATCGTACAATGCTACCAAAACTCCTGGAAATCAGATGTACTTTTACAAATTTAATTGCAGCTATTAGATATAATGTGCTATTATATCTGTTTTACTTAAGAATGTCTCCCACCAAAATATTAATATTTATAAATAAAGGGACATTTCCATTCCATAACTGCTTTCTATTTGAAAAATATTTTATAGTTCTTCAAATAATTCCTTTCCTGAAAAACATATCATACACCCTTCCTTGCAGAAAATGAGGTAAAGTAGCCAAAAATGTGTGCATACATGCATGCATGGGTATTTCTATGCACACATTTACATGACTGTATGTGCATGTATTTATATAATTGAACATAATTTCTCTCATTCAGTTTCTCAGACATCAGGATAAAACCTTGCCTAACCAGGGACAAGGCAAATTACTTGAGAATGAAATCTTTTTTTGAGTCCTGTGTCTGTGCATTCATCCTCAAGGAAGATTTGTGTATGTGAGAAGCATTTATAAGGAAAATATAAAAGTGGGAAAATATTTAGGAGAAGGAAAATTTAATTAGAATGAGGATGGTGAATCAGTGAAGACAGTGTAGTGGTTGTGGGGAAAAATAAATGAATTATTTTTCTTGCTTCATATGACCTTGATACAGTGGGTTTTACAATTAATTTTTATTATGAAGCTTAGATTATAGAAAGAAGTATTTTTAACTGACATGTTTTTGTTGTTGTCACAGTATTATGCTTGTGAAGCCTAATCTACCACACTGATTTTTTTAACTGACATGTTTTTGTTGTTGTCACAGTATTATGCTTGTGAAGCCTAATCTACCACACTGATTTTTAAAATAGTACACTTGATTACACTTGATTCCTTACACATGTGGTTGTTATTGTTAAGTGCTGTTGAGTCGGCTGACTCATAGTGACCCTTTATAGGGTTTCCAAAGAGTGGCTGGTAGCGTAGTGGTTTCGAATCTGGCTGAGAACCGCAAGGTCAGCAGTTTGAAACTACCAGCTATTCCACATGAGAAAGATGAGGCTTTCTGCTTCCGTAAAGATTTACAGCCTCAGAAACCCTGTACAGGGTCACTATGAGTCAGAACCGACTCCACGGCACACCACCACCACCAAGGAATGTTTGAACTCTGGAGGGTTTGAACCACCAACCTTGCATGTAGCAGACCTGTACACATTTGTTGTTTTTGTTAAGTGCTGTTGAGTGGGTTCCAACTCATAGCAACCATGTTTCCGAGGAGCAGTTGGTGAATTTGAACCACCGACCTTACAGTCCAGTGCATTAACAGACAATGCCACAGTAGGATGATAATAATTAAAAACTGTGAAGCCTAATCTACCACACTGATTTTTAAAATAGTACACATTTGTTGTGTTTTTGTTAAGTACTGTTGAGTGGGTCCCAACTCATAGCAACTGTGTATAGGGTTTCCAAGGAGCAGTTGGTGAATTTGAACCACCGACCTTACAGTCCAGTTCAAACCAACTTTGCAGTCCAGTGCATTAATAGACAATGCCACGCTAGGATAATAATAATTAAAAACTCCTAACATTTATTAGGAGTTCTGGTGTGGCAGGAGTCCTGGTGTAGCGTTGTGGGTTAATGCGCCAGACTGCAAAGCCGGTGGTTCAAGCTCACCAGCTGCTCCTCAGAAACCATAAACAGGGTCACTATGGGTTGGAACTGACTCGACGGCACTTAACAACATTTATTAAATAATTTATTATTTTCAAAGCACTTTGCACATATTTTCTTTTGTTTTCATGTTATTTTGAATATGAATGCCAATACATACATGGGAAAACAAGTAGATGAGTCATTGATAGTCATCATTTTGGTACCCTCCCCAAGCAGAGATAAATATACAATCTTAGAATGGAGATAATAAACAATAGTGAATAGAGTTCCCTGAACTTTGGTGTCTTGAGAGTGGGATCTGACTCAACTACCTCCTGTGTTAGTGATTGTAGATGAAGTTGCTTGCATTGTCTACATCTATAAAATGGAAATAACAATACCTCTATCAGAATGTTGAGAAAATTTAATGAAATGTAAATTAATCAGTACAGTGTTTGTCTCATAATAGGCACTTAGTGTATGATAGCAATATGCAGTATAGGCGAAAACAAAAGGAGACTCCTCACTCCACCCCAAGGAAATGGTTTGACACAGTGATATGCAGGATTGCATAGGATCAGGCAGTGTTTTGTTCTGTTTTGCACAGTATACTATGTTGTATATAGGATCACTAACAAAGTTGTTAGGTGCTGTGGAGTCAATTCCAATCCATAGCAACCCTGTGTAGGGTTTCCGAGGCAGTAATCTTTCTTCCATGCATATTCTACAGTATAACACCAGGACTGCATATACAGAGTACTGTCTGATAAATTTAATCCAAATATAGTTGAAAATAACACAATATGACCTATTATATGACTTGAACATCTTGGAATTTTCCTTTAGAGATGGAAGAGCTTACTTATGTGGCAACTAATATTTCTCAGGTTTTTGTTGTTAGGGGTCATTGAGTTGGTACCTACTCATAGTGAGCCTATGCACAACAGAATGAAACACTGCCCAGTCTCATGTCAGCCTCATAATTGTTGCTACATTTGAGCCCATTGCTGCTGCCACTGTGCCAATCCATTTGGTTGGGGGGGTCTTCCCCTTTTTTCCAATCCTCCACTTTACCAAATGCGATATCCTTCTCCAGGGGCTGGTTCCACCTGATATGTCTGAAGTATGAGTGACAAAGTCTGGCCATCTTGGCTTTTAAGGAGCATTGTGGCTGTACTTCTTCCCAGGTTTACATATTAGGAGAGGAGGTTTACATGTTATGGAAAGGAGGATTTCTTTAGAGGAAGTTTGGGAACTATAGTAGACTGTCAAGCATGGATTTTGGAATCCAATCTAGTTTGATATCAAGTTTATCTAATTAGGAGTTAATTGTACTTTAGAGTTATGGAAACTCTCTAGCTCTGTTTTCAGCTGCTAACTAGGGGAAATTTAATAATATTTACAATTGTTAAGGATTAAATAAGGTAATGTATTAAACCAGAGTCCTGGTTTTGTGTTGTAGAATAAACACTAGATGGTTAACAACAAAGTCGGTGGTTCAAACCCACCAGCTGCTCCTTAGATATCATATGGTTTGTTGGTTATGTGCTGTGGAGTTGGTTCTGACTCATAGTGACCCTGTATAGGGTTTCTGAGGCTGTAAATCTTTATGGGAGCAGAAAACCTCATGTTTCTCCCACAGAAGAGCTGGTAGTTTGAACTGCTGACCTTGATGTTAGCAGCCCAACTCGTAACCACTATGCTACCAGAGCTCCTTTCCATATCCTATACAGAGTTACAATATATTGCAACTGACTCAATGACACTTAACAACATTATGATCCTAGCTCATAGTAAGGGCTCAAGAAATACAAATTTCCTTCTCTGGTACACATGGCTGAATTTACTGTTTTTAAAAGGGAAAGCATTTTTGTGAAAGTTCATGCCTAGGAAATGTCAAATAGCAAACCATTTGGTATGTAATGACAGGTGTGAAGAATTAGGGAAATGTCCTCTTAATTGAATTTTCAGTACAGCCGCACAGATAACCCATGTTTAGTATAATCCTATCAACTGAAGATTCAGAAGACACATTATACAATTAATTGCTGATGGAATTTAGGACTAATGAAGGTGGCCCATCTGGATAGTAGGCAGGCATGGACAATTTTATTTTTCATATTTCCACTCCAAAAAGATGAAGAATCACTGTGTATTCCCATTCTTTAATAAAGAAAGTTACTTTCTATACATGAACTTCCTAAGACAAGAGGCAGACAGCTGTGAGAGATATGTGAAGACATATTTCAGTTTTATTTTCTTTTAGGCATAGACAGGTATGTTAATCCATTTCCACATACAATTCCTGTAATCACAGATATGGAGTGAACCTTGAACTGGCAAAACCTGTCTGCTGTTGTCAAAGAGTTAAATTGGAGAGACGAAATTTCAAAAGTGGAAGATTGTGAATGATCTTCTTCCCGGTATTTCAGGGCATGTGGCTGCCATTACACAATGCAGACATTGATTCGATGGTAATAATACTGTGCCATTTCCCCAGCAAATTTTCTGCTTTTTGTACATGGCCCTCCAGTTCTCATAATCTTTTCTTTAGGTTCTGATAGCTATATTTGGGATTACTTAACCATTGCAAGTAGAAGCCAAGAAATAATTGCAGTATAGCCCTCTCTTTCTATTGTTACATTGCTTCTTTCTGCAAAACGACTTAGGAGTTAGACTTTGAAGCTTTGATTTCCTACACCAGAGAAAAAAAGGGAAAAAAAAAAAAATATATATATATGAAAATGATTTTTTTAGTGTTCATGGTTTATTTGCGGTAAGCAGGTGTTTAAAAATTTTAGAATTTCTTTAACAAAATTCTAAAGAAACATGAAAAAAAAAGAGAGAGAAGTCACAGTATTTACAGAGATAACAGAATGGCTTTGCCATGCAAAACAAATAACTTTGGTTATTCCCCTTTTACTTTGGTTTAAATGTTGACCAAGATTCGATTTTTTTTCCCTGCCAAATGAAACTTCGATAAATCAAAGTTTAGGGAAAAAATAACATATTTTCTTTCTTCCCATAATATTTTATACAGCATTGAGTCTAATAGGATATTTTATATATTTAATCCATACCAATGTACTATAGGAAGCTTTTATAAAACTCAGTTACTACTGCCTAGACAGTAAACGGCTTACAAATGTACAATAATGTGTGTTACTAAATAATGCAGAAGTGGCAAAATTTTATTCATAATTGCCTTCTGACTTTAATCTTCAATTGATTTTCATTGCCTTCTTAGTTTTTATTCTATAAGTCTGAAAACAAACACCAGTTTTCCTTCCTCCCCACAAAGAATACAGTTTTATACGTGGAAATCTGATGTTCATTTTTTCTAAAAAATTATATAAATCCTGGGACAAAAAATGGCTTGCAATGTTCTCCCAGAAACCAAGCTTCTGCTTGAAAGAGCAAAGTTTAAAAGTCTAATCACAAGTAACTATTGGCCCATATCCAGTCTACTTCAAAAAGTTTCCATTTTTTATTACTGCCCTAAAAAGTTCCTCAAGCATAAAACATGTTTATAAAGTTACAAATCTGAATGTAACTAAAGATACATAGACATTTTATTATTACACTTTCATGTACTTTTTGATAAATTATGTACCAGTTAAAAACACTAAATTATCTCAAGGTGCATTCAATATCTGTAGCGTAGTTAACAAAAACACACACGAAAAAAATATATATTCTATATTCTGTGGAAAATAACACAGCTTTGATAATGACCACTGTTAAAAATCTCCAATTCTGACTGACATCTTTTTTTTAAAGAAATAGGTACAATTTTAAGGCAGTGGATAACCCAAAGGATTTAAAACCAATTTTGAATTATGGTGATTTACATTGTGATTAATGAAAGTGGAAATGTTATCCGTGATTTTTCCAAATTGTATTTCACATATTGATTTGCTTATTATTTTGATGAAAAATAATTTACTAGCAGGTGTCTCTAAAGATAAGTGACACCCCATTTTTTTTTTTTCCTGTCTCACAATGGGCACATTGTCAGTTTGAGAGTACCATTATTATGTATGGGTGTCCATGTGCATGTGTGATTCTGCTTCTGAGAGTCAGCTGGTGGCACATACACAGAACAAACTGATCTGCTTTTTAATCAGACTCTCAGCCTCCACTTACTTTGTGATAAAAAACAATCACACTTTTGACAAGCACAATATGTGTGTCCCCAATCTTCACAAGCTGCCACCTTTGGGTTTGAAGGGCTTGTGATAAAGTTGGGGGTATTACTGATAGCAATCAGAATCAGAAATGAACCTGCTCAGATTATCCATACAAACAACTGAAATAAAAACATTCCTTTATATATCAGATCAACAGCAACTCCCAGAACATAGCTTACAGTGTATAAAAATAGCTACGTAAAAAATTTACATAAAAGGCAAACCAAAAAGAAATCCTCAGTGCAGACATTTACCGAAGAAAAAAAAACAAAAACAAAAAAAACAAACCAAACACAACATATGACCTATTATCATGGCTGCCAAAATTTGTTGTTATTGTTAATCATTTCACTTCATTGTTTTACTTGAGATAATTCTCTAATATCCTGTGACAGCTTCGTAGAATAAACTGCTTAATACTTGAACCATGAATTGCTGTCAATGTCTTTGTATGTGTCTTAAATACAATCCACGTTCATGCTTCCATTGCTCTATATGGGTTTTTTCTCTGAAATAATGAAAAAAAAATTAGCTATCACAGAAGTTTCTTTTTTTTTTTACCACAAAGAGTGGCTTTACACTAAAAACAGTGTTGAACTACCCAAAAGACAAGGTAAACATGCCCTACTGATCCTTAGTTACTAATCTACAGGGAACATTTTCACAATTTATCACATAAAGGAGCTTCTATTTATGGTTGACATTTGTTTCCCTCCCAATCCCACATCACCACCCTATAGAATCAAAGCCTGTTTTCAAATTTATAATCCTTGACAAGTATGGAGTACCCAGTAAGCAAGGCAATATGGTGAAATCGTTCACTACAGATCACTAATTAGACACAAGTAAACCCATGCTTACTTTGTTTATTGAGTAATCTGCCCTGAGTAAAAGTGACAGGAATTACTTCAATAGGAACCTTTTTATAAAATGCTCTTTCCCTGAGCCTACCTCTAATCCCAGGTATTGCTGTATCCTTTCAATAAAAAAACAAAGAAAAAGAAATTAGAAACCGTTGAGGGTTTTTTTTTGTGTGTGTGTGAAAATGGCTTAATTCATACAAAGATTATAAGGCTCCTCAGAAAAAGATTTCATTTTTTTTCTTTTAAGTTTAAAAAACTGCACTTATTCAAATCATACTCCATTTTGTGAGGTTTGTCTTAAAGCCTCAAATTTCAAAGACTACAAGGCAAAAAAATTATGTTTATAAAATACTGGGGGGGGGGTGTAGAACTTTAGAAAAACAAACAAATAAAAAATGTGGGTCAAATCATCCCAAGCTTGGCTTTCAATGGAAAGCAGAATGGGAGAGGATTCCAGTATTCATATTTTTTACCAATTAAAATTCTTTGCCATGGCCCCCATTCTTACTATGGAATTAACTAAGGTAATCTACTAAAGTTGGGACTTACGGTTTATTTATAATGAACTCAAAGTTTACTGTGGTTGTTATGGATTCTTACAACATAGTGGTAAGATTCAGGTTATTCTCAAGGACACACAAAATAATTTGTCAAAATGGCTCCTTTTTTGCTGGTTCAGTAGAATATGAATAAAAAGAAAACAACTCCAACTGCAAGTGACAATACCATCTGCTTGAGAGTGCGTTAAAAACCACAAAGACACAGCTATATTGTATATGCAATATATATAATATTGATAATATTATACACACATACATTTGCATACATACTTATATACATATACATGCATATGCAACCTTGAGCTGATTCTGACTCTTAGAGAACCTAAGGATCCCTTGTGGTGCATTGGGTTAAGTAATAGGCTGCTAACCAAAAGGTTGGCTATTTGGCCCTACTAGTTGTTGCATAGAAAAAGGTAAGACAGTCTGTTTTTGTAAAGATTTTCAGCTTCAGAAATCCTAGGGGATAGTTCTCCTCTGTCCTATAGGGTTACTTTGCGTCAGAAATCACTTGATGAGAGGAGGTTAGATGGGTTATAGGGTTTATTGAACTGTAATATTTATGAAAGAAGCCCTAGTGGCAGAGTGATAAGCACTAGGCTGCTAACTGAAAGATCAATTTTGAACCCACCCGCTTCTCCATGGGAGAAATGCATGGAAGTCTGCTCCTGTAAAGATGATAGCCTTGAAAGTCCTATGTGTCCGTGCTACTGTGTCCTCTGGGTCACTAGGAGTCATTATTGACTATTTACCAGGAGTCCTGGTGTGGCGCTGTGGGTTAATGTGCCGGACTGCAAAGCCATTTGAACTGCAAGGTTAGTGGTTCAAGCTCACCAGCTGCTCCTCGGAAACCCTATACAGGGTTGCTATGAGTCGGAACCAACTAGACGGCACTTAACAACAACCACAAAACAATAATAATCTTTCTGGGAGCAGATAATCAGGTCTTTTCTCCTATGGACACTGGCTGAGATTGAAACATCAGCCTTACAGTTAGCAGTCAAGCGATTAGAAATTAAGTCACCAGGGCCCATTACACATACATACTTATGCATATATGTGTATACACACACATATGTACTATAGCTACAAAAGCAGATCTACAGTTATACACCCATGCACAAGTTCATCTTTTTTTTTAATGTGATTTGGGAATTGGATATATAAGTATACTCACATTTATCTCATGTTTATCTGTATAATAAATCCTTAGATTGAAATTTTTATATTTTAAATTAGATTAATAATTGTTAAGACATTAGAATCTGCTCTTATTCTATCCAAATGCCAATTTATAAAATAAAGTTACTTTGAACTCAGCAAAGTTTTTGGCATTAGGAGACAAAACGTTAATGAAATATTAAGATTTTTATTTTGATTATTTGAAGATTAATGATTTTTTGAGGATTGGGAAACTAGTGAGATTTCATTTTTCAGAGAACACCTTGCTGAGTCACAAAAGTTTTCTTCTGAAAAACTATTTACTTGTTTAGAAAGTTGTAATTATGAAACATCTTACTGTCTAGACTTTCTCTTTTACACTTCTCTGGGAGTCATTTTTATAAACCTCATACAACCTACCCACCTGGGCAACTATAATACTTTCTCTCTTAGGGTTCTGCTTTGTGATTGTTTTCTTCTAACTTCTTGTTTTCCTCCAGATTACCAAGATCCTTGTTTACATGTTTTGATGCACTCCTATAAAATAATTAAATAAATATTAACATAATGACACATACATTTTCGACTTTGAAAGATATAAAGCTCAAATTGACATATGCTTGAAAAGCAACTATTTTAAATCTCTTACACACAACCATTGTGAGCCTTGGCTAATAACAGAACAAATTACAGTTAAATTAACTTGGTAGGTCTTCTGGTCCTGGATTGTAAGATTAACTACTCCCCCCTTTATGTTAGTTTAGGTTTTACTATTTTTATTAATTTATATACAGAGACATATATATACATTATATATATAGATAGAGATTGAATCACACATATATATTTATTTTTAAGCTTTTATTGTTAATTGAGATAGTTTACATGGAAGAACATTGGTTTGCACTCATCCTAACATATTTCATTTCATTGCAATGATTACAATCACCTCCATGCATTATCATTCACAGTATTTACTTTTATTTCCTCTGTTTTTTATGTTTTTTTGGTGTACACAAACTACTCAGGAAAATACAATAATTTAAACAACCAGAGGGCACATTCTGCAAGCCTGCCTCCTGGCCACCAGCACACAGCCTTTCTATAGAGTCCTCAGCTGCTCTATCTTTCCATGTCCTCATCTCTGCCTCCATCTCTGGTGTCACTGCTTCTCTGGATAGGGTTCCACATTCTGCTCATGCTCTTCTCGATTGATGGTCCTAGGGTACTCTGTTTCTGAAATGTAAGTTTAACTACTCCCTCCTTTATGTTACAAAACTTCTACCTTTATAGTTGTGACAGTCGCAATTAGTCATGGCAACAATTACTCACTATTGAATCATAAGAATCTTATCCCCATCCCCTTTCACCAGACCCATCTAGACAACATGAAAACTAATCAATGGGGACTCTACTTTTTTCTGCACACTCTGAAACTAAATTCACTGTAGAAACCTTGTAAGCCTGTCACTTCATGCCTTTATAGCCCCCCATTTTAGGCAGACAGTGTCTAAGTTGCCTGTCCCTATCAACCCTGTGTACAGAAGGGCTAGGCTTGATCCTTGGTACGAAGACTCCTTCCCTCTCAGTTAGTATTTTTACCTACTACATCCATAAGTATAGGTCAAGTTCATCAAATTGTAGCAATTTACACTTGCTTCCTTTAACAAATTTCTTTATCTTTTTCTAGTCACATTCTGATGACCAAGCCATTGAAGCTAGGTCAAATAGGTACTATCTGCAAGTTTGGGTGTTCTTGTGCATCTCCCCTTACTTCATAACAGCTGGTCACTTCAGTCTCAGCTCTAAGCCCTCTGTGGTTAGGTCCTTGTCCCTGGGCTTAGGAGTCCCCAAGTTTCACCACATTTTGGATCAACCAGCCCTTTCTCTTCTCTCTCATCTCAAGATTGACAGGAGTTTATGGAACATGTTCAAAATCAGCCCATATCTTCATTGCTGCTTTCCCCCATTTCCATTCACCAGTAGACCAGTGTGGTCACCAGTAAGCTTACATGCCTGCTCATACATTTATTTTGAGTTTCAGATTTATGTCTATTTTTAAAAGCTCAAAATTATGTTTGTGGGATTTATTCAGAATGTTACATGTAGTAAGAGATTAGTTATTCTCATTGTTGTATATAGTATGCTGTTTTGTAAAAACCATGGTAAATAAATCGATTCTTTTTAAGTAATGAGCATTCTTACATTATTGCCTTCTAAGATTTCCGTTATATTTAAATTAGCCCTTTTGTGTGTGCCCCAATGGGTCGCTTATGTTCTTGTCTGTCTAGCTATTCTCTTCTTGGCCTCTGTACTTCTATTTAGGTGGGTATTATTATTATTATTATTAATTTGTTTTCCAGTTCCCTTGTTGGGTATTTTACTATGGATAACTTGTTAAGTTATATTAAATTTATCTATTGCATGTTTAAAATTTAATGTTATATTTTTCAGCTATAAAATGTCAATTTAAATCTTATCTAAACTAGAATTAAATTCTCTAGTGAAATTCTGCATCCTTCCATGTATTTTGACCTTAAAAAAAAAAAATACTAAGCACTTGGCCACAAAGTCAGCTTGAACCTCAAGGTCATTGGTTCAAGCTCACGATCCACTCTGTGGAAGTACTACATAGGGTCGCGATGAGTAGAAACCAAGTCAATGGCACTTAACAGCAACAACAACAGCAACAATATAGGAGGAGCTTCAAAAATTCATAGAAGAATGCAATAGAAAGACAATGGAATTTGTTCACAAACTTTTTGAAGTCCCTTCTTACGGTTTATAGTTCTTTTACTATCCTGTCTGTTAACTACATTATCCAAATCATCTATAGGTCTGCTTCTCTTAATTTCTCTCTATATTACCGATTATGTTTTCTTCATTTTTTGCATATATAATCTGTTTTTTATTTTTGTTTATTTATTTATTTTCGCCTAACATTATGTAGAAAGGAACTATAGAGACTCCACACACTGTTATTTTCTAACAGATAAGCTTTTTCTTTTTCTTTGTTAAGCAGATATGGTAAGGAGTTGATCACCCAAGTTAGTCAAGGATTGAGCTAGCTTGTGAGTCAGTTGAAGTTTTTGTTAGATTTAGTCTACCTCTACTTAATGACATTTTTATAGTATGGAGTTCTAGGGCTTCTGATTGAAATGCCAGTAGGTAACACATTCTTCATCCATTAAATACAGATAGATTCAAGATTTCCTTTCAGAGGTTCAGCCAAGTTTTCAGTTTTTTGCCTGATGCAGTTTCAACATCTAGCCAACATTATTAGTCTCCTTGAGATAATGATAAGCTGAGTGAGAATAAGGGGCTATACTTTACTTATATTTTATCCATTTTTGTTTTGTTTTGTGTCATTGAGTTGGTTCTGACTCATAGCAACCCTGCATATAGTTTCTGAGGAGTGGCTGGTGGGTTTGAACCACTGACCTTGTTATTAACAATCTAGTGCTTTACCTACAGTGCCACACCAGTACTCTATTTTTTTACCCATTGTTGTTGTTAAGTGCCGTTGAGTTAGTTCCGACCCATAGTGACCCTGTATAGGGTTTCTGAGGCTGTAAATCGTTATGGGAGCAGAAAGCCTCATATTTCACCCAAAGACTTCCTAACTGACCTGTTACAATTTACATCTACTTATGTGCACACTTCTTTTTGATAATGTAATAGTGTGATGCTATAAGATAAGCACTAGATTGCAGGGTCATTCGAATCACAAGGTCAGTGACTTAAACTCACTACTCTCAGAAACTCTGTACATGGTCTCTAGGAGTCAGAACCTATTCAACGGCACTTAATAACAACAACTTTTTAATGATATTACTGTTTTGCACTATGGTACATACTTTGCTGCTTCTTTACAGATGAGGTTAAATAGAGAAATACTACATTGAAATGACAGAACATGAGTCATATCTTATTTCAATCCCTTCAAAAAACATGGCACAAATTATATGCATAAATACATACCTTAATTCTTCTAGTATTTACATACAACAGCTTTACCAAACCAGAAGTGATTGCAATGATGACCAATGATAACAGATGGAAATTTGCTCTATTGTTATTCTATTGAACATATGAGATTTAGAGCATTTATAATAGGTGAGAGTTACAATTCTGTGCTCTCTGCATTTATCATATGTGTGAAATATTCACAATCTCTGTGAGCAGGGTAAAATTAGAAAATGATATAATACTTGGAATATACAATTTGCTGTTGTTATTCTGACTTATACGGTTACTGAGGAGCAGCTGATGGGTTTGAAATGTCAGGTTTTTTTAAATTTTTTTAATTCAAATCAATTGTGTGGTCCAGTGCTTATCCACTGGACTGTAAGGTTGTTTGAATACCAAGGTTGGTAGTTCAAACACATCAGTGACACCCTATACAAGGTTGTTATGAGTCGGAAACAACTCCATGGCACTTAACAACAACAACATTATTAAAACACCATGTTTTAAGCAATTACAAAACAGGGTAATGAGAACTTTTTTTTTCCCCCCATGATAGTGTATCATTGAGCAAACAAGTAAAAAATGTTAAATATTAACTTGTCATTTAACAACACTACTCTAAGGATTTCTATTTCGGTCAATAGAAAATAAAATGCACAGTATTGTTTAAATGTATTTATTTATTATTTATAGAGACCATCTGAAGAACAGATTTGATGCATTAAACACTAAAGACCGAAGACCAGAAGAGTCGTGGGATGACATCAAGAACATCATACATGAAGAGAGCAAAAAGTCATTAAGAAGACAAGAAAGAAGGAAAAGGTCAAAATGGTTATCA